ACCTTATTTTTAATTTTACAAAGAAAACACTCCCATTTACGCTACATTAAATTTTGCAAATTATTTTATTGAATGAATTTTTATTAAGTACAATTTATTATTAAATAATAATAGAAATTAGAATAAACTAAAACATATTAATTAGTACTGCAGTCTGTTTGGGATTTTTCATTAGAGGAAACACTGGATCCCAAACTGGTGGTACGGAGAAACCATCTTCTCTGTTGAAATTAGGATGTTTTTTTAATTTTAATGGCCTCTCGCAGCATCCTGGGTAGATAACGGACTTCTTTTGCAAGGACCTGGGGTTTGTCAAACTTCATTGAATGTGTAAGTTTATCCATGACATGCTCGCAGACTGCAGACTTGTTTACGCGACGGTGTTTGACATCAACTATATGTTCTTTGACGCGGACACAAATACTTCGCTTCGTTTCTCCAATATAAGAGAGACCGCACTCACAGTCAAGCTTGTAAACTCCTGCATCCTGTAAGGGGATGTTACATTTCACGGGCCTCAGGAACTGAGAAATCTTTCTCAGGGGCTTGAAATAGGTCTTGATAGATGCACGCCTGAGGACTCTTCCGATCTTGTCTGTAACACCTCCCACGTAAGGTAAGATGGCAGGTCTTCGCACGACTGTTGGTAATTTCACAGATTGAATTTCTAGTGACTCAACTGCCATTGCGACTAGATTTTAGTAGAATAACAAATATTCTTATAAATTCAATATGATTTCAATGGAGTCTCAATAGAATGAATGAATAAATTACAATGACCAGTGAGTGTAGCGCACACAATACATACCTATATAGGTAAGTAACAAAAAAGACAATTGATAACCGATTGACGATAATAAAGAACTTTAACAATACGAGTCAACCAATATTTTTCTTTTCTTTTCCCTGTTTTTATTATATTTTAAGGTAACGCATTGTTATTTTGTTTTCATACTCCCTCTCCACTTTTCTGTCTCCCGTAGTTATAATTTTATTTAAGTATAATGTGTTTATTTTTTTTTATTTTATCGTCATTATCAACATCATGAACCCATTTATACGTTCCACTGTTGAATATGGGTCTCCTATCAGACAAAAGCTAAAAGAGAAAAGCTCATGGAAAATTCCAAATTAAATTTCGCACATAAATTCCAACTCAGAGGTGCGAGCCCAGATTCGAACCCGCGGTCTCTGCTTGTAAAGCGGTAGGTCAAACTATTAAGATACCACACCTGATTTTTTAAATTTATTTAAGTATTTTTAAGTCTTGTATTTTACTATTTCGTTTTGCTAAAGTGTCTCGATGTTAAAACACAGTCACAAAGCACGACAACTTTTATTGCAAAGTATCTGAGGATCGTATTCTTGAACTCTACTCGGTGCTCAAGTCAGGATTGCAATGGAAACAAGCACTGGAAATACGACTCTAATGGCAGGGACTTGAGTATGATTTCAAGTGCTTTAAACCATACTCAAATCCTGACTTGAGCATTGAGTAAAGTTCTAGAATACGACCCTAAATCTTTATTCCCTGAAATAGCTATTAGTTTTAAGTTTTTTTTATTATATCACGGAATGGCTACCTGATTCCTGGCGGAACGGCTTCGTGAGTCAAAAACGCTAATTACACAACATGAAACTTTTACTGCTCTTGCTTACGTTAATGATAATTATTAATACAAAGATGACGATAAAGAAAAAGTTACAGGCACATGGGACTTGTCAACTTATGTCTCGGGGTGAGGGGCGCAGTGGCAACCCAGTGCCTCTCAGATCTCTGCGACTTAAATCTCTGAGTTGCAGGCGAGTCGCCTGCCACCAGTCGCGTGACTTGTCCATCTCATCACTTAGTATCACAAAAAAAACTATTTTTATATCTCAGGTTTAACGGTTGATAGGGACGATTCGATACAAGTAAATACGAGTAAGTACTCGATACTTTTGTCTCGATACCGAGTACTTTTAGTACGGAATCCTTTCTTTTGAACTTTACTGGATTTCGGAAGAAAAATACTAATATCGAATCGAAACGCGCACGCGTAAATATTTAACCTTAATCCCACTTCCCAGGAAAAGATTATCTTTTTTCCAAATTATTTTTCCTTTCGTTATAATTACTTTTTTTTTTTCACAGCACACAAACGCAAACCGCGAAGTACCAGAGTAAAAAAAAATTATGTCTATTTATGGTCCCTGTAGACCGTTTTTGGATGAATGTTCTAAAGGGACATCACACATTTTTGTTCGAAAATCGCCTTCAGTGCAACGGAACAAGATACGTCAATGTGTAGCTTGATGTGCTGTTGACTACATTACATACATCTCAGCTGTTGGTAGGTCAATGATTTCAGCGAATGAGCGAAGTTCACAAAGAGACATAGCGGGTTCTTATGTAATTTTATTGGTTTTTGTATTACAGTTTTTATATAAATTAATGTTTAGTTTAGGTGTTATTACGACAAATTCGCAGTAATAATCGATTATCCAAATCTCGATCGATTAGCGGAATTATCGATTGTATCCATTTACCTATAATACTTTTAAAAAAGAAAAAAAAACGTTTATTTATTGAATTGTGCAGTGCGCGCTTATTCAAGTTTATTACTTTTCTTGTTATTATGGCGCCGCCAAAATCTAAAGTATGGACATATTTTATATATTTATTAATACATATAATTAGCATCGCATGACGAATTGATTACTAATCATTGAATGATACTTTCGTGGTCCCGGAACACCCCTAATGGTTGAATGTAGGCGCTTTTTGATTTTGCGAAGAAGTGTTTACGAGGTAATTGTGGTCAATAGCTCCTTTACAAACTCACTCTATCGCGCGTGATCAGGGGCGTACAGGATTGAGCGCGGGAAAGCCTGCACGCGTTCGCGTTCATTTTAATTACATCGGTAGAGAGTCCGTGTAAAACATTGACTTACAATTATATGGACGTCGGGTTCGCGCTAAAAAGTGTCCGAACTTACAGGGCGTTAAAATCGTATACACAGCGTCGTTCACGCTTTAGTCTTCGTTTGTTCGACTGACAGCGAAGCAAGCAAAATTGGACAGTACTGCGATGACATTACAATTTAAATTCAACGTTTTAGCTATTTCATATTCCTTTACATGTCACTACGTTTAAATAGGTTGACTTGGGACATTTTTTTCGTGGTTTTTGTATTAGACCCGTCGTCCATTTATTTGTAAGTCAATGGTGTAAAAGGCAACCTTGGAACGCGCGATTACGAGCGCGACTGATGGATGCAATCGTTTTCCTTCCAACATCTTTACACGTACACTCAATCGCGAATCGAGATTGCTATATCACGCGCGTAAAAGCGTCTGTGTAAAGGCTTCTAATTACTTGGTTATTAATAAAGCCTTTGGAAACTACGTACCGCGTAAGTCAATACGAAACCGACGACGCATTAATTTATAGTTATGGGTGTTACTCAATCGATTTCGCTACGTGTGTAGACGAGACGTGCTCGAGTGATATTGGGACCCTCATTTTTTCACATTAGTCTTTTCATTTCGCCTTGCTTGGCTCCAATTCAATTACGCACGCCTTCTATACAAACTAATATTATAAATACGAAAGTAACTCTGTCTGTTTGTTACGTTTTGACGCCTAAATCGCTTAACCAATTTAGATGAATTTTGGTATAGAGATGAATGGGACCTAGGAAAAGGATATGTGGTTCTTTTTATTATAAAAATAAAATTTAAAGAGGGTGTAATATTGGATGAAAGTTATACAATATATATGGAAAAATATTTCTTTAGTAAGGGATCTGATTCATATTTATCGTCATTCTTTTTTTTTATAATATCAAGTGACGGGACGAACGAGTCATGTATGCCTGATGGTAAGCAACATGCCTGTCGATAACAGTTGCAGTGCCACTCAGAGCTTTAAGTCGCAAAAATCTAAGGGGCAATGATACTGCGCCCGTCATTCTGAGACATAAGTTGACAAGGGCCATGTGCCTGTAATTTCACCAAAATTACAGGCTCTTGTCTTGTCTCGGACTAGTGTCCACTACCACATTTCCGTGGCAATTTTTATTATTTAAATATTCAAGTATATTATCGTGCAATTACTAAATAATATTTCAGGACACAATACTCGAATATTAAATAATATTGCACGATAAAAAATCGAATACTTAAATGATAAAAATTAGCTAGTGAATACTAGTCCGAGAATGACCGTTAATACCTATTGTAACACATAAACAAAACAAAAAAAAACAGTATAGTGCACTCGATATACTTTTTCTATCGCAAACGAAGTCGCGTGCACCAGCTAGTAGTAAATACAGCAACATTACATAATGTAGCATCTATTCATTTATTTAAACTTTATTGTATACAAAACTGGTGGATCGAATGCAATGGAATTGAGTGAGAATGCCTCATTTGGCAATGCACCTTTTCAATGTGGAGTGTCTCCGAATGCGGGCGCAGTTTCAGTGATCCTAAAAAAAGTAGTTCTAATTTACATGTAGTACAACGCAGCGTTACCGCTCAGGCGTCGCATCGCCGACACGCAACGCATCGTCTGTCATCGCTCCATGTCATACATTGTAATCATAGCGTTGCGACAACGCAACGCTATGATTACAATGTAGTGTGGAGTGACGTCACGGACGTCTGTGTGGCTACTTACGTATTTGAGTGTCGCTCGCTTTTTTAAACAATAAAAATAGTAAATAGTATTATTCACAAGTAACACCTTTAAATAAAGAACCGTGACAGTTTCGGTGACGTTACTATAATACGGGTGTGTAAAAAGTCAAGAGATATACAACATTAAAATCACTTTTCATTTCGGTAATATTCACTATTTACTAAATTCATAACTTCATAAGGTACAATAAAAACAAAAAAACTTTATACACCGCCAAATACAATTAATAACTAAATCAGAGTGTGCCCAGCGACCCCTTGCGGAAATTCATTGCGCTTTTTGGTGACCCTACTTTTTTTATCTGCGTTCGATATGGTGGTTAAGTGCAGTGCGTGTTGCAAATTCATGTCAACGGTAGAGGGCGCAAACGTCGCATGCCCCATATGCAAAAAACAATATCATAAAGAATGTGTAGGAGTGCGTAAAAATGACACTGTGCCGTCATCGTGGGCCTGCCCGGACTGTAAATCCAGGCTGCCTAGGAGCAATCAGGATAATACTCCTATAAAAACGCATGATGTTCGTAACAGCTCTCCGAAAGCCAAGAACCCAGACTCAAAGCGGTTATGCGAGACTGGAGGAGATTCAGAGGAAACGAGTCTCGCATACGAGCTCCGAGCGTTCCGTCTCGAAATGAGTCAGACTAGAGAGGAGCTAAAAGGCTTGCGTCAGGACCTTTTTGAGTTAAGGTCGACAGTGCGCTCCTGCGAGAATCGTCTGGACAGGGTTGAGGAGACGGTGCAAATAATGATGACGGAGAGGGCGAGTGGTGGTGGGACCGACTCCTGTTTCGTTAAAGTGATCCAGGCCCTGGAAGCGAACGTGGAGAGACTGCAGCATGATCTAAACGATCGCGACCAGGTGCTGCTCCTGAACGAGGTGGAGCTCAGCGGCGTGCCGGAGGAAAATGGGGAGAACCCCATCCACATTGCGCTGGCCTGTGCCGCTAAGCTCGGCATGCAGCTGGACGAGCGTGAGGTGGTGAGCTGCGCGCGCACGGGAGCCCCGCGGCGCGAGGTGGGCGCGCGGCCGCGGCCACTTGCCTTGCGGCTGACCCGTCGCGACACGCGTGATGTCTTGCTGCGTGGGGCGCGCGTACGTCGTCATCTCACCACTGAGGACCTGGGTTTGAAGTCTGAACCCCGGCCCTTCTATATCAACGAGCGTCTAACGTCGATAAACCGGCGCCTTTTTTATCTTGTCAGGCAAACTGCAGGTCGTTTGCAGTGGAAGTATGTTTGGACCAGGGATGGCCGGATTTACGTAAGGAGGGAAGCCGGAGCCCCCGCTCATCGAATACGATGTGAATCCGATTTGGTGAAAATTTTTGGTCCCGATGGCGTTTGTCCCCCCCCACCAGAAACTGGACTACAATAATACCTAACTATAATCTATGCACACATCTTAATTTTTTATATTATTGAAGGTCTGTTATTACTATTACCTATGGTGCGTAGTCATGTGTGTGGCTGTACAATAATTGCAAAATATTTTAGACTTATTTACATATATACAACTAATTTACTTTTTTATTATTTTTATACTTTATTTTTATACTCTCATGTATTTATTAATTCAGCTAACTACAAATCTAAATACACACAAACATTACATATTATTATAAATATACATTATCTACAGCATTATAACAAACACAATTGTCAACATGCAATACACACTAACTACATATATAAATATACACAACAAAACTCCAACATATGCAAAATGGACTTACACACACTATTGCACAACGGAAAGGACTTATTAGTCATCTCATCAATATGTTATCATTTGTCAATCACTATGGGAATCACTTATTATTTTATTTTTATCGCCTACAAATTAGCTATCTCAAATGTTTATTCTAATTATTCGTATTCAATTTAAAACGTAAATTTAAGTTGGGTTTATTAAACGTGGGCTCGTTAGGTACACGCCACGATGAATTTATAGTTGCCATGGACCGACACGACGTAGATATCATGGCAATAAATGAAACGTGGTTAAGGGACGGTGAAGAGGGCCGCGCGCCGTCGGTAACTGGCTACCGATTGCGTCATATTCCCCGACCGCCCGCTGTGCGCTCGCGCGGCGGTGGGGTTGGGTTTTACATACGACGGGGCGTTGTTGTCCGTACACTACCTCATCCACCGGCTCCGCTCGTTGAGCAAATGTGGCTGTGCGTAAATGTCAATGGAAAAAAGTTACTGGTAGGTACTGCATACAGACCGCCCTGGCTTAACGTAGATACGTTTGTAGATGCTTTAGCTGAGAGTTTGAGCTGTTTTTCGTGGTGCAATAATGTGGTATTGTTGGGAGACTTTAATATTAATCTCCTGAGTATAACGGATAGCAGCACCAAAAAGTTAACAGATTTTCTGACGAGCCACACATTGCACCAGTATGTAACTACACCAACGCATTTCACTGAGTACAGTGAAACACTTATTGACACCATAAGCACCGACATAGACAATACTGTGGTAGTAGTTGATTATATACCTGAGCTGAGTCGACATGCGTTTATCACCTGCACATTAAACATCGTGAAGGCAAAACAAACACCAGTACGGATAACTCGCAGAAATCTTCACACTATCGACTACGAACGGTTCGATGTGGATCTGTCTACCATAGACTGGATGAGAATAACCCACTTAGAGGATGTCAATGATATGGTGAGGCAATTCAGTGAATGTTTGGTGGGTTTGTTCGATGTACATGCTCCCCTTCGGATATTACATGCCAAACAGCGCCAGTACCCGTGGATTACCTACAATGTGAAACAACTTGTAAAGCGCCGTGACGAAGCACATGCTGCGGCACGACACAGTGGCAATGACTCGCAAAAATCTTACTATAAGGACCTCAAAAAAGTTGTTAATGATGTGTTGATAAGTGAAAAAAAGGCTTACTACAATCATTACGTAAATAAGCAGAAAGATTCTCGAGTATTATGGGCACATATAAAAAAAAATGTTAACATAAAAAGTAAACCAGAGCTACCTACACATATTTTTAACGATCCTAATTTAATAAACGACCACTTTTTGAATGTGCCCGGTAGTCAACAGCCATTACTATCAGATATAACATATTTTCAGCAAAATAGTAAGATAAACACAAAATTATCACTAACAACAGTAGAAGACAATGAGATTCTGCAAATCATGCGATCATTAAAGTCAAACGCGGTTGGTCTCGACGGGATATCACTGGACATGTTGCTGTTGTCGTTACCTGTCATACTGCCTGTTGTTACAGCTATGGTGAACAGATCTATTGAAACCAACACGTTCCCAGTGGACTGGCAGCATGCAGTCATAAGGCCTATTCCTAAAATTAATAACCCTTCCAACTTGACAGATATTCGGCCCATAAGCATACTGTCTTGTGTATCGAAGGTCCTTGAGACAATTGTAGCAAAACAAGTAACAAACTTTCTAGAAAGTCACGAAGTTCTTCCTAACGTACAATCTGGGTTTCGTAAGAAACATAGCACGACAACTGCTATGATTAAAGTAGTTGATGATATCCTATCTGCACAAGACAATGGACAGGGCACCTTGTTAACACTGCTGGATTTCTCTAGAGCCTTTGACTGCATTAATGTTAGCCTACTACTAGCTAAACTGCATTATTACGGATTTGCTGACTCCACCATCAAATGGTTTGACAGTTATCTGAAAAATCGGTCTCAGTGTGTTGAAATTTCTGATCTTAGTGGTTCTAAATTACAATCAAAAACACGTGACGTTACGCGCGGAGTACCACAAGGTTCAATTTTGGGCCCTATTCTCTTTATAATCTACAGCGCGGATGTCATAGATCAAATAAAATTCTGCAAGTATCATATTTACGCTGATGATATACAGATTTATATATCTTGTAAACCATGTGATACTCCTGAAGCCGTGGATAAGTTAAACGAGGATCTAGAACGTATAGCCTCCTGGTCAGATTCAAATTCATTAGTGCTAAATGGCTGTAAATCAAAATATATGGTGCTGGGTACAAAAAATCAAATAGCGAAAATTAATAGTCGTAACGTTACTTTGGCGATCAGGGGCGCGAACATTGAGCGAGTAACTGAGGCTCGGAATCTTGGACTCCTTATGGATGAAACACTTCACTTTGAGAATCATGTGTTAGGCATCGTCAAAAATTGTTTCTATAGGTTAAAGGTATTATATAACATCAGAAATTACCTTAATACCGACATTCGCATTAAGTTGTGTGACTCACTAGTTCTGTCAAAATTTAATTATATGGACGTGGTGTATGGGCCGCGACTGTTGAAGCGCACGGAACAAGTAATTCAGCGAGTGCAGAACGCCTGCGCAAGGTTTTGCTTTGATATACCACCACGCACGCACGTAACCCCTTACATAAACAACGCAAATATTTTGAAAATGAAAATGCGAAGAGATCTACACTTAGCTACAGTTCTGTTTGGGGTTATAAAATACAGAATCCCGTCTTATTTGGCTGACGAGTTGATATGGTCCCGGGATGTAAAGACAGCTTTCACCAGAGCGTCAGCTTGGTCGCTAGTCCTGCCGCGCTGTCGCACCGCCGCATTCCGTGGCAGTTTCAAATTCGCCGCAGCGAAAATATGGAATGTTTTGCTGCCGCCGCCACTCCGTAGTCTACAAACGGTGCACACGTTTAAAAGAAAATACAAACAATATCTGTTAGATATTCAAAAAAATACCGTATAAGTTAACGTGGGCACTCACCGTTCTGTTTTCGACTTATGGCATTGGTGTGCGGCGGTCATCGTCATCAATGTTCTGCGTGCGGGATGGGGCAAGTGCGAATGGCATTTTTACGCTAATATTTTCGGTTGTTTATTTTGTTCCTGAAAAATTTTACTGATTATTACTATTTGACATATGACACAATTCTTATTTAATTTTTTATATTTCATAATTAATATACAATTCATTATACAATTAAAATTATTTATGATAATCTGCAATCGGCAGAAGTTTTAAATATTGGTACATACCTTTTATGGCATAGGAGACTGCACGCTATTATGCGTGGTAAGTACCTACGATACAGGACGAAACCTGTTTGCTTACAACGGAGCTGGACGGAGTTGCCGCGCTTTGTGGCTCGTGAGCCGGGGACCCCTCTCGCGCGCCTACCCGCTCGTCTTGCGTCGCCCACGTGACACAAATCTCGCAATTGATATCTTTTATAACTAAATAAGTCCCATTTTTGTTTGTTGTAAATAATAGACATTGCATTGCATATGCTTATCACTGCATATATGTATCAAATGAATTATTTAAGTATTTTATAAATATAAGAGAACACAACATACTACATTATAGAAATATATACGTAATTTATTTTAGTTTAAACGCGACACACACGTCCGGTACTCACTCGGTTTTAGGGTCCACTGAAAATCAGCGTCACAGCCTTGTCCCGGCGGTGACATTAGCTGAGTGGATCCTATTACATACGCCACAGCCGCACACATAACATCTACTTCGTACAGCAATAGTGTTGACCAGTTTTATGATCGAATAATTATTTATTGCCAAAATTTTATTTTTAATTAATTTTATTTAGTTTTCTTTTTTGTTATTCATTTTCTGTTTGTTTTAATTTAGTTTGTTTTAAGTTTAATTTAGTTCTGTTTTATTTTAATTTTTTTTTTTTACTTTTAATTTTTTACTGTTTATTATTGTGTTGTGGTGTTTTGTAATAAATGTATTCTATTTCTATTTCTATTTCAACTCCCATGTAGCATCGCTTTAAGTTTGTACAATAACGCAAATTTTGTATCCGTACGTTTGATTTGTTAACAAGCTTAATTATTAAAATTTTTTGTTAATTGGTAATTAAACCATTTTTTTTCGATCAAAGCATCAAAATCGTGTAGCTATATTTGTTTTTTTTTTTTAAAAAACAAACCGACGTTTCGGGTTCTTTACAGGTCATTGACCTTAGCTGTGTCAGCTGTAACCACATCGGTTTGTTTGAAAACTAAATATATACGAGCTTTGGATCCGAAAAAAAAAACGTTTATATATCTTTGAATATTTTTCACTTGTTCTGTTTATAAAACAAATAAAACAAATGTATTTAAATATTATTAAATTCTGAACCAGGTCAAACCTGAGTGCCACATCCCAGTCCCTTATTCATGAATAAGATTCAGGTGGGCACCTGAATCGCAGCTGGGGCTCTATTTTTGGATTCATAATTGAATAAAAGCCTATCAAATTACGGACAATGTCAAAGGAATAACCCCTTCAATGAATAAATCACCTAAATTGAATAAGGTGAATAAAATTAGATCCGATTTCGAAATAAAATGTGAAGGATAATAACAAATAATCGATAAATATACATAATATGAAATTATTTGTATAAATTGATCGTACGCCTAATGGTTTGGCCTACCGCCTCTCAAGCAGAGACTGTAGGTTCGAATCCGGAACGCACCTTTGAGTTTCTCGGAATTTATGAGCGAAATTTGTTTTGAAATTTAGAATGAGTAGAATAAAGGAAAACGTCGTGATGAAACCTGCACGTCTAAAGTTCACAACCCGCGGAAAACGTGTGAAGGTCCGTACTCTCATTGAACCAAAGGAGACCCTTCCATTTTAGTGTTCGAACTTTGTAATAATAATTATAACAAACTAATGGAATACTTCCACAAAAAAAAATTATAACATAATTAAGTCCATAACAGTTGCAGTGACACTCGGAGCTTGAAATCGCAAAGATCTGAGGAGCACTGCCTCTGCGAAAAGTCCCAAGTGTCTATAATTTCACCAGCACCCTTAACGCCCAGGTGACGCGAGGAGAAAATTTTCGCTCGGCGACCGCCCAGTTACCTGCCTTCATGTACATTAATGGTAAATCTGAATTCTATTTAATAGGCAACAACATTTAAATTCCTCTGAATAAGACAACCGCCGGTCCCCGCCCGGGTCGCCGCGTGACCGGGACGCTCATTTAAGTTAAAACGTAAAAGCCAAATAAATAGAGCGTATTTTGCCATGACAGCTAAACGCACGCGGTCGCTGCGCAGCGGCAACGCGGACTCCGCTCGGCGACCGCGCGACATCCGCGCGGGGTGAGCGAGATAAAATTCGTGTCAAATAAATCCGCCCTTACCCTTCAAAACCGGAACACACTAATGCTAACATTACTGCTTGGCGGCAGAAATAGGTAAGGTGGCAGTACTTCCCTGGATGAACTCTTTCAAAAGAAGCTCTACTGCTACTAAAACATTGCGATATTCAATATACTTAACATTACATTTTCTATTTGTTCACAATTTAAAGGAATCCTCAATCCCCTAAAATGTCGACAAAGTAAAAAAATCTTTATTTCCTTACATTACCATTATATTTAAAGCTTTCTGATTGTTCATATGAAACCAAACAAGTTTTAATCTGCAACTTTCGGAAATTTACAAAGACCACAACTAATTTTTACCCATAAAACGCAGACGGAACAAGTGACAATTCGTAGCTATAACAACAGTTCTCCTTTGTCTTATATTGCTGCTACCAGATTGCTATATGTGTCGAAAATTGAATAATAGTAATAATAAAAACTTAATTTCATTTAAGTAATCATCGTACAGTGTTAAGCAGTGATCGGAATAGCTAGAGTTTTTTCGAGGAACAGAGTTAGAAAGTGGAGACCGCCTTACGACAATATTTTTAGTTCCTGGTTCTTTTCGGGATTGGGGAAATCTCGTAAGTACAAAATTGACGTTATTTGGGGTAAGTAGGTAGACTATATTTATATTAACTTTGCGATGAGTTGTTGCAACACCAATTTAACGGAATATTTAGGAAAATTTCGAATTCTTTGTTCCTTCAATATTTTTTTTCTAAAAGTATACATTTTACAAAAGACTTATGTCTTGCCAAACTGGAAACAGTTACTTAATACATTTAATGAGGGTTGTTAAGATATACAGATTGTTTTTTTTTTTAATGGGGACTGATTATGGGGAAATCCAAAACCATATCAATATTTTTTTAAATTAAATTTGACCAACTTCAGCTGTCCTGATTTGTTCGTAACATACAATGGAATGATTCCTTTGTGAAACTGAGTCTAAAAAGAATTTTGATCAATTTTTCTTTGAAGTAAATACTAAAAAATAATAATTCAAACAATCATATTCAAGCTGAGAAGATCAGCATCACAAATGCAGGGACATAACTTCTATAAACTGATATTTTAGAGATTATAACTTGTCTTCAATAGGTAGCACTGATTTAGAAAATAGATAGATTCACTTCCATGACAATTTATTAACTAAGATCAACTAAAACTAGTAATAGTTTTAGAAACTGTAAACTAACCAGTACGTAACCTTACCTATTTCTGCCGCCACGCAGTAATGTGAGCATTACTACATTCCAGTTTTGAAGGGTGCTGGTGACATTACACGCACATGGGACTTATCAACTTATGTCTCGGGGTAACGGATGGCATTTCCCCTAAGATCTCTGCGTTTTAAAGCTCTGAGTGGCACTGCAGTTGTTATGGATAGGTGTGTCGCCACGACTTGTTCGTCCCGTTAATTGTTATAAAAAACATTGATTAAACTCTGCTACGAATTCGTAAGGTCGATTTCCATGTGAAGAATGAAGAAACTTTGAAAAAAAGCTTTATATATACCGCGTTTCAATCCATTTTGAACAAAATGTAAACAAACAAGTCACTGAGCCGACCATAGATGGTTTACTGGTGGCCAATTGTAATGCCAACTACAAATCGATTAATTAATTGAATGGATCGATTTGTTCAATCGAGTGATACTATCGGTTTTCCTTACATAACTTAAGTAAGTAAGCATATTTCTGCCGAAATCTTAATTTTAACTCCTCGTTCAAATCCTTACACTTAGATACTCGTTCGATTGCGATTGAAATATCCGATTTACTAATCGATTACAAAAACTTTAATTCAATGAACCGAATGTTATTTTTCGTACAGCACTGTGCAACCATAGACAAGTCATAGATGTATAGATTAAAAATAACCTCACTTTTGGACTACAAATGGTATGGACTCAAATACGATTTTACAATGCTATTCAAATGAATATTGTTGGAAAAGGTGATGAGATATCAGGCAAAATCTTCGAAATATACGTGAAAATATTACTCATTCGATTTATTGAGTGATTTCTTTACAATTTTAATCAAACAGTTGTTTAATTTACTTTTTGTTCAAAATGGATTGGAACAGACTTTACATTGCGCGTATCGTTACCACAATAGAACACACATTTGGTTAACAAATTTTTATCATTTACAAATGTTGCTAAACGCTGTAACTTTTGTCTTTAGTCACCATTGACTTACAAATAAATGGACGACGGGTCTAATACAAAAACCACGAAAAAAATGTCCCAAGTCAACCTATTCGAAATTTAAATTGTAATGTCATCGCAGTATCGCGCTGTCAGTAGAACAAATGAAGACTAAAGCGGAGTGTCGCGCTCTGTATACGATTTTAGCGCCTTACAAGTGCGGACACTTTTTAGCGCGGACCCGACGTCCATATAATTGTAAGTCAATGTTAGTCACTGAAAAATAAACAACAGATAGGAAATGGAACTATTTTTCCGGATTTAAATCGCGTATATTTGTTTATTCAAACAAACCGACGTTTCGAGCCCTTTACAGGTCCCATGGTCACTGCTGACTGAAACGTCGGTTTGTTTGAAAAAACAAATATACGCGATTTAAATCCGGAAAAATAGTTTCATTTCCTATGTGTAACAATCGCGAAAACCTAAGAACTCGATAAATGAGCAACAGATTTGACAAAAGCAGCCTCAACAATATGGCCTCTATGTACAATTAAAATCTACCCGCCCTTAATGGAAAACCCTTTACTAATTTGCTAAACAAAAATACCTTCTGTCAGTCCGTATCCGTTTATGCGCCAGTCAGCCAGCTAAAGCAGGCATAACATGAACAAGAAAATATACTACTAACATGGAAAAGGCTATACGGTAGAACCTTTGCCCACCCAAAGAAATGGATGAAAAAATTTTAGATTTTTTTTGTGCAAATCAATTCTGTGTTTCTTAGAAGAAAACGCTTACAACACATAAAAACTTAGAGGTATTACATTTTGTAGAAAAAACACGCAAGCAAGCCTCGTAATGTAATACGATACGGGGATATAAACATCAGATAAAAGCTTTTCCATTTGGAGAGCAATT